ATTGAACATGGACTCTGGACTCTCCTGGCTCTTGAAGCAAGTTCAGCATTATTAGGCCTCATCATAGATGTGGACAGAAATTAAGCCAGTGTCTGGGGTCTGAGCAGCAGACCTTCATCTTTCAAAAATTCTGGAAAGCTCAGATTTCCTTAATAAGAAAATTTATATTCTTATGGCACCAAACCCTAGCATCTAAGCAGGAGGAGGTTTTTAGCCTTTTACTTACAAGAAAAATAACTAATGATGAAGGTACAAGTTCCTGATTATGATAGAATTACAAAATAAGTACTTTCTTCTCTCAGTTTCCCCAGGAAGACTGCTGCTGCCCCCCAAATAGATTAGTACAACTCACAATTCATTCTTATTGTGACTGACTGAGCATCATTAATCTGAAAGTCTGAACTCTGAAATGCTCCAAGACCCAAAACTGTTTGAGCACCAATGATTCCAAAGTGGAAAATTTCACAACTGACTCCATGTGATGATTTGCACTAAAACACAGGTGCACAGGGCTGAGGGTGTGGCTTAAGTGGTAGAGCATCTGCCTAGCAAGCATAAGGTCCTGAGTTCTAAAACCCAGTGCTGCCAAAACAGGTGTGCTAAAAATACTATACGGAAGTTACATTCAGGGTAATGTATATATAAGGTATATATGAAACAAATGAACTTTGTGTTTAGATGTGGGTTGTATCCCCAAGATAACTTATTATATATGTAGATATTCCAAAATCCAGTTTTTCTGAAACCCAAAACACTTCCAATCCCAGCATTTTATCTGTGCTTACATTCCTCTCAATTTAATTACACACTTCTGCCTTTCTCCCCAGCAATACTTGCTGTGGTTTAGATAAGTGTTCCCCTAAGCCTGTGTTTTGAAGACTTGGTCCCCAGCCTACGGTGCTATTAGAAGATAGGGAACCTTTGGGAGGTGGGGCCTCGTGAAAAGAAGTTAGGTCATTTTGGGTATGCCTTTAAAGGAGATATTGGGATACCAGCCTTGCTTCCTGCCTGCCACAAAGTAAGTGAGTAACTTCCTTCTCTGTGTGTTCCTGCTGTGATGTAGCTGCTTCACCACTGGCTCAAAAGCAATTTGGCTAACTGACCATGGACTGAAACTTCCAAAATCATGAACCAAAAGAAATCTTTTCTCCTTATAAGTTATTTATCTCTGTTACTTTGTCACAGTAATGGAAAGCTGACTTTACACAAGACTATACTCTCCTTGAGAAAGGTTCTCTTGGGCCCTAGCCCAGTACCTAGCCCAATCTTCAGAAGGCAGAGGCATTATAATATATACTTGAGTGTATGAGTGAACAACCAAATAAAATTGGTCCTAATCCTACATCCTGGAGCTCTGTGTACTGGGTACAGGGTCAACCACTGAAGAATGGTGAAAGTCAAGACTAGGTGCTTGGAGGACAGGGAGCTTGGATACTATGTCATCTCTCCATACCTTCCAAACCAAAGATAGACATTGGGTTTTCTCTACTTTGCAGCTGTTAAGCACAGTACTGCATTTAAGATGTGAATACAAATCTTTGTGTATATTCGCATAATGTATGTTATCATTTCTCTTGGGTAGCAAACTAGGAACAAGGCTACTTTTATGATGTGCTAAGGAATTTAGTTTTTGTTTTGTATGTTCTGGGGATCTACAAGTGTATTTTAAGCAATGCAGTGACATGAATACATTATGTTTCAGAAAGATCATCAGAATAATGTGGCACATGGAGACAGATGGGAGGCAGGGAGACTGGTTAGGAAATTGTTACTTTTCAATTTGTTTTGTGACAGAAATTGTTTTCTTCATTGTATTCCATGGAATGGGTATGAAACAAAGAGAAATATGAGATCCTGTGTCTTTCATTGGAGATCAGTTGCTCCCATGAATCATATTATGAAAACTTCTTCCAAGAACTAAATGGAAATGAAGAGAAGTCAACATTAATTTATACAATCTAAATATCCATTGTTAGTGTTTTTCATATGCCTCCCACTGTTCTTTCATTTTCTATCTTTTTCATTTTATTTGCTCAATATTTTAGCCATGGTCTGGCAAAAGCACCTTCTTTGTGCTTTTGGAAAAGGGTAAAACACTTATAATGGTAGTAACTGAAAAATAAAAGAGCTTTTAGCATAGACAAATTCCTCATAAACCATTTTGAAAAATCCAAGTTCTAAACATTCCTAGTCCTTTCTACACCTTACACATCCACTTTTGAAGGACTATTAGCATGACTTAAATCAACTGAAAATTAGAAGCACAGGATTTCTGAGATCAAAGAGACCTTAAGAAAACCAGCCCATAGCATGCATTTGTAGATAAGAAAATTGAGGCCCAGAGAGCTTCAGAGAGTTTGCCAGGATCCTGTGGAAACCATAATGAGAATGTGCTGTTTCCACAGCTAAACCTTGGGATTTCCCAGAACAAGAAGGAAGAGATGTGCCTGCAGGGTTTTTGTTTGTTTGCTTGTTTTGTTTTGTTTTTTAAACAATTGGAAAAAGTAGCTCAGGCTTTTTATACATTTAGAAATAAAAATAGTCATGATGGGCTAAAACTTCAGTTTAAAAGACAGCAATAAGTAGCAGAGTAGTGCAGCAGAAGCATGCTGGGCCTATAAAAGACAGCAATAGTTAGAAGCTATTAAATATGAAGAGACATGAAAATGGGACAGAGTAATTTCTTGGTAATAGGTTCTGTGAGATTTTCATATTTTTTATTAAAAATAAAAAGCTCATTTTTGTGCTGTTACTGAAATATTTTGATTCTAAGATACTTATAGCATGGCTCCTTAGCAAACATACTATTTTATTGTTGACTGGGGCCTCCTAAGGTGCCAGTAATTTTTTGTTGTTGTAAATAAATCTCGTGTTAACTTGAACTTAATGGCACAGGAGAGGCATTGGAGAAAGTCTACAATGCCGACAGTAAAATTCTCTCCTCAGGTACACACCAGGCTTTCTGGGAGGTCCCATTGTCATTCTGCTGACAGACACTTCTACAAAAGCAAAATGAGCAGATGGGAGACGTAAGTCAGTACTGAAATGAGAAGACAAAACTCCCGTAAATCTACATCTCAGTTTCACTGGATTCATTTTCCACATCAGCATATATGCTAACATATAATGACATGCAGTTGAAAAAAATCCATCCAGTATTTTATCAGTCTCTGTTTTAGACACAGTTTTCAACAGTAGAAGGACTGGGGCTTCAGGGAGGGGAGACTAGGAATGCAGCATAAACAAAATAACAGTCATTTTATATGTGTAATTAAAGGTGACCAGCATTTCAGTTTTATTGATGAAAGCTGATTGAAGAGTGGGCCTTGGATAATAAGGAATGACAGATTTGTTAATGTTGAACCCCAGAATTGGATATACTAACCTACTCTAGGTATATGGAACAGCCCTATTTAATTCATATAGGAGGCTTTTGTAGGTGTGGTCAGCTCAGCTTAGTATACATCCACTCTTCTGAGATGCTCTACCCAGCTCAGTAGCATGCTCGTAGGAGGCAGTAAAAGAGTGGGACTTAGCTACACAGGCTTGTTCCTTACTGACTTAGCAGCCAGATAAGTCGTATCACCTCTCTTGGGAGGAGGGAGGAAGCTAAGGGTTTTCAGGAAAGTTTCTTCTTAGAAACCAAGAAGTAGATGTTCCCTTCTGTCACAGAGCTGGATGAGGGATCTTTTGATCTGTTTGGATGAAAATCTTGAGTGGGTATGGAAATGCTACAACAAAACCCCTATACAACTAGTATAAACTAATAAAATGTTAAAAAAAAAAAAAAGAAAATCTTAAGTAGACAAGGAGCAGTGTTCTTAGCTCTGAGCTTGTTAGTGCCAGAGGTTTATGAGTTGGAACTACAAATCCAGAAGCTTATAGCTCTAGACCAAGAAAACTAGAAGCTATGGTTCCAGGCTTTAAATGCCAGAAGATTCTCTCTCTAGGTGCTCAGGCAAGAGTAAGCGCTGGGCTTTCAAAGCCAGAGGCTGATGGCTGTAGGCCCTCGGTGGCCTACAGAATTACTGCTTCAAGCTTTTAAAGTCAGAGACTTACTGGTTTGTTGCTTTGGGCTTTGAGTGTCACAAGGCCAGCACCAAGTAGCTAATGTTATAGCTCCCATGCTTTCCTTTAGGGTTAAGGTCACTCAGCTCTTGACCCTTGGCAGCTCTCAAGAACTCTTCCAGCATCTAGGGCTTTCAGTGTCAGCTTTGGCTCTTCGTAACTTCTTACCTTCTGCAGTTTTTGCTCCTGGCCACTATTGGAACTCCCCAGCTGCCTTCTTGCTGCTGCTGGGTGAGTCTGGGGCTAAATATCCCGGGAGTTCTTCTGTTCTTTGTACAATCAACTCGGACCACTCTACCTGTGATAGAGACATTTGGAAGAAACCTTTATCTGGACCTAATGTTGTAACACTTGAGGGTCGTATATAGGAGAGAACTCTCCTGGACTGACCCCATCATTCCCATCCTTGCGTGTGCATGGATTCTAATTCTATCAATCACAAGCCTTACATATGCAGCAATCACAAGCATGGCTTATGAATCATTCACAAGCTTTGCATTGCACCAATCACAATGGTGAGTCACTGGGGAGGAGCTCCCCTGCCCATTGTGATTGGGAATAGATGCAGGGTGAGCAGGATCACCCTCAAACCCAGTGCAAGTTGCCTGAATTTGTCACAACTAGAATAAAACCTCCTGAAAAAAATGTTGTGGCTTCAGCAGCAGCAGTGGTTATGGTGATCCTTGCAGTTGAAGTGACTGTAAAGTGTTTAAAACAGCCAGACTGTCATATGGGCAAAGAAGAGAGTGCTTGACTGTCAGCTCCCCACTCAAGGCAGCCAGGCATAAAGGAAGGTTCTATCAACTGTCATTCAAGGGGCCTGACAGCCTTGCTCACTGACAGGAATTTAAAAAAATTAAAGGGTGTTTTATAATAAAGACCTAGAAAATTAATATTCTTAACAGTATTTAATAATGCTTAAACCCCTAACCATGATCCGCTTAAGAGGGTTGCGTCCCTCTGATTTATCTCACTTCCTCTTGTTTGTGTGCAAGAGGGAAGCTGTTGAGGTAACTAACCCTTTGGGAACCACAGTAGCCTCACCTGTGAAGTTAAATTTCCTGTGTGTGGAAGGTTGAGAAAATAAAATGTGATATGTGTAAAGCACCTGGCACAGTGACTAGCAGAGTGAATGCTAAAAAAGTAGCAATTCCGTTCAGTCTTCCTTTAGTTAACTCCACATGCTCCTTTTCTGCCTCTTTTTTGCTTGCTCTCCCTAACCAAGTTCTGATTTGGACAACTGTTGAATAGGACACCGTTCTGCAAAGTAGGGGAAGTTTAGCAAAGCATAGATGTGTGAGAAATAACAAAAAACTTGGAGCTCAGTTTGAAGAGTTCGTTAGTAGAGCTCTGTGAAGGGCTAAACACTAACCCTGAATAATGTCACATTATATGGATCAGCAGGGAAAAGAGCCACCAGGCAGGTGGAGAGAGCAGAGAATGAAGAGGAAAACCAGGAGAGCTGGCAACACAAAAGTCAGGGAAAGGAATCCATTCCAGAAGGACGAAGGGATATATACTTTGTCATATAAAATAGCAAGAGATGAGTCAAGTACAATAGTAAGAAGAAGAAGCAAATGGACTTGCAGAGCCAGCACACACAGTACCAGCTTTCAAGTACTGAACACTTATTATATGCCAGGCACTGTGCTAAATGCTTCATTCACACTATCCATCTAATTTTCAAAACACTACCCCCATTTTATAGAACAGGAAAGTGGATTCGTACCTGCTTGGCTTAGATGTGACAGAGATGTGACCTTCTTGGCCTTAGTCCCTGCCATCTGACCCTTAACCACCAAGCCCTCTCTCCTCTAAAAAACTTGTATTTGCCCATGTAATGGAAAATGTGCTGAGAAGTGAGGTGGTGAAGGAGTACAACTGTAAGGGGAAGAGAACAAGAAAGAATGGCAAGTAAAGGAAGGTAGACTGAGGTTTGTCTTCATTTGTTTGCTTTAAAATAGCAGATACTTCAACGTTAATAAATGCCAATGAGGGCCTGGGAGGCAGTCAGACAGTGAGGAGACATTTAGAAGGCAGAGTCCATATGTGTGTGTGTGTGTGTGTTTTTTTTTTTTTTTTGGTGTGTATATGTGTTACTCTTAGGAAGCAGACCTCTCTTCCTTTCTAACAAACAGGGCAAAAGCTATTAAGTTTGTAGGTTTTATGTCCGAAAATTAAGAAAGGCCTCTTTAGATTGTTCTCACTTTACCTCTACCTCTCAGCTCCTTTCCCTGCTATGAATTCCCTTCTCTATCTGGAACCTTCTTACCCTTTACTGCCCTTGTTATTTGGACTCCCAAAGAGCGCTCTGCTTCTGTCTACTCCACAGACACTTTCAGATGTGCACCAGCAGGAACCCCACTCTCACCTGCAGGATGTGACTTCCTTCCAGGAATAGGCCTTCTGCTCATTGGGTGAAGGGCCATGCACAGGCCCAAAAGCTGTTTGCTAAGTAAATATGAGTAAAATCAGTCTACATTTAGATATGGCACCACCCTGTAGGAGTTAATAGTTTGGCAAAGAATTTAGATAAGCACACAAATAATTGTAATGAAAGTCATATTGGAGGGCTTCCAGAGTAAGATGGGGGATTAGAAGCTTCCTCGGTGCCACCCTGTGAATGACAAGAGTCGGGGTAATAAAAAACAGACTATATTCTGAAGAGAGGAGAAAAAAGCATTAGGAATCAAGAATGAAGTGTCAGAACAGCTAAAAGGCACAGAGAAAGAGAAAGGCATTGCAGACAAAAGTAACTCCCATTAGAAGAATGGAAAAAACAAATTGGAAGTAGGAAAGAATCAAACATTATTAACTCTGTAAACCAGCAAACCTCTGAGATCAAAAAGAGAGAAGTTAGTACCTACCTCCAATAATAATCCTAACTGTAAATTCACCTAACTTTCCACACTGGCTGATTGGATGTGCTGTCTACAAAAAACCTCATTGGTAGAGGCACACAGACTGAAAGGATAGAAAATGATATAAGCAAACAGCCCAAAAGCAAGCAGGAGTAGCTTTACTCAGATGACAAAGCAGACTTCAAGCCAGAATTAATCAAAAGGGATAAAGAAAGTTGGTACTTTTTTTTGTGTGTGTGGTGATACTGAGGTTTAAACTCGGGGTCTCATGCTTGCTAAGCAGGTGCCCTACCATTTGAGCCACACCACCTGCCCAACTACATATTAGTAAAGGAAACAACTCAACCAAGAAGATAAAAAATATCCAAGTGTGATGGCTCAGACCTATAATTCCAGCTACTCAGGAGGTAGAAATGAGGAAGTTCATGGTTCAAGGCCAGCCTAGGCAAAAAGTTAACAAAACCTCATCTCAGCAAATAAGTCAGACCTAGTGGTGCATACCTGTGATAGGCCATTAGTAAGAGGATCATGGTCCAAGGCCAACTTTGGGCAAAAATGTAAGACCCTATCTGAAAAATAACTGGGATAAAAAGGATTAGGGATGTACCTGGTGGATTGCCAACCTAATTAACACAAGTATCTGAATTCAAAGCCAAGTACTGCCAAAAAAGAATGAACAGAAGAAAGGAGGGAGGGAGGGAAGAGGAGAAGAGAGAAAAGAAAACAATTTTAAGTATATATGCCCCAAACATTGATGACTTTCATTTCATAAAAACAAACCCTCAAACCCTACTGGACAAAAGGCAACAGTTTTTGTCCCTTTTGGGGACAAAAATACTGAACAGATTCAGTTCAGATCTAGTAGTAAGGTGACTTCACCCCACTCCTATCAATTGATAGATCATCTATACAAAAAAAACCACAACAAAGAAACTTCAGAATTAGACTGCACCATAGATTAGAGGATTTAACAGGTATCTATAGACTATTCCACTCAGTAACAGAGGAATAAGTATTTGCCTTGGCATGCCATGGATCTTTCTCCAAAGTAGATCACATTTTAGGCCCTAAAGCAAGTCTTAATGAATAGAAAACATCTGAAATAATTTCTTATATTGTACCGGATCATAATGGAATGAAGTTAGAAATCAATAGCAAGAGAAACTGAAGAAATTATGCAAACACCTGGAGACTGAACAATACACTTTTGAATGATTGGTGGGTCATTGAAGAAATCAGAGAGGAAATTTTTTAAATTCCTGGACTCAAACAAAAATGAAAATATGACTTACAGTATGTTTGAGACATAACAAAGCAATTCTAACAGGGAAGTTTATTCTTAAGATTGCCTACATTAAAAAATTGGAGAGATCTCAAATAACCTAATGTTGCACCTCAAGGTCTTAGAAAAACAGAAACAGGTTAAACCAAAAATTAGTAGGCAGAAAGAAATATAAAGATTAGGGCAGAAATCAATGAAATGGAGACAAAAAGAACAATAAAAAGATCAGTGAGACAGTAGGTTCTTTGAAAAGATAAGCAAGATTAACTCTTAACCAAACTAAACAAAAGAAATAGGGAAGACCCAAATTAACAACATTAGTGGTAAAAGAGGCATTTTACAACAGATAGGACTGAAATCCAGAGAATCATTAGGGAAATTTTTGAAAACTTCTATTCTAATAAACTGAAAAATCAAGAAAAAATGGATACATTTCCAAGCACAAATGACCTACCAAAATTGAGCCAAGCAAATACAAGCACAATCCTATAATGAGCTTTGAGATTGAAGCAGTAATGAATAGTCTCCCAACAAAGAAAAGTCCAGGACTAGATGATTCACTGCTGAATTCTACCAAAAGTTTCAAGAATTAACATCAATGCTTCTCAAACTATTCCATGAAATAGAAATAGAAAGATGCCTCTACACTTACTGTAGAAAGTCAGTATTACCCTGATACCAAAACCAGATTATGGCACACACACACACACACACAAAATTATAGACCAATTTCCTTGATAAACATAGTGTAGAAATCCTCAGAAAATCACTTGCAAACCAAAGTCAGTAATACATTTACAAAGATCATACGCTTTGATCAAGTTGGTTTAATTCTAGTGTTGCAAATACAGTTCAACATATGCAAAACAATAAACATAGCAGAACATGTGAATAGAATCAAGGAAAAAAATCACATGATCATCTCAGTAGATGTAGAAAAAAACCCTTGACAAAATTCAACATCCCTTCTTGATAAAATCACTGAAGAAATTAGAGACAAAAGGAGCATACCTCACATAATAAAAGCTATTTACAACAAGCCTTTAGCCAACATTATACTGAATGGGGAAGTTTGAAAACATTTCCTCCCCTCTAAAATAATGAGTGAGACAAGGGTATCCACTTACTTCACTATTATTCACTATTTTTCTTGAATTCTGAGCCAGAGCAATAAGGTAGGACAAGAAGTAAAGAGATATGAAGAGTAAAGGAAGAAGTCAGATTGTCCCTATTTCCAGACATTATGATCCTATACATAAAAGACTCTAAAGACTGCACCAGAAAACTGTCGTATCTGATAAAATATTTTCAGCAAAGTAACAGGATACAAAATTGATACACAAAAATCGTAGCTTTTCTGTATACCAATAATGAGCATGATGAGAAAGAAATTAGGAAAGTAGTTCCATTCATTATAACTTAAACATATGTACATACATAATACATGCATGAATGAATGAATGAGTGAATAGATTAAAACCTAGGAATAAACCTAAGTAGTTGAAAGAACTGGACAATGAAAGTATAGAATAATAAAGACAGAAAGAAGACACTAGAAGATGGAAAGACCTTCTATGTTCATAGATTGGCAAAACTAATATGGTGAATGTGGCTGTATTACCAAAGGCAATCTGCAGATTCAATGCCATCTCTTATCAACATTCAAATGACATTCTTTGTAAGAATAGAAAAAATCCTAAATTTCATATGAAGCACAAAAGACACTAAATAACCAAAGCAATCCTGAGCAAAAAGAGTAATGCTAAAGTTGTCACAATATGTGATTTGAAATTATACTACAGAGACATAGTAACAAAATAACCTGGTACTAGCACAAAAGCAGACACATAGACCAATGGGATAGAATAGAGGATCCAGAAGTAAATCCATGGAACTATAGCAATCTGATTCTCAACAAAAGTGCAAGAACATACATTAGAGTACCTCTTCAACAAATGGTGCTGAGAAAACTGGATGTCTGCATATAGAAGACTAAAGCTAGACTCCTGTCTCTCACACTAGATCTTAGCCAAAAGGCCAAGAAATGATGACTCCTGTCTCTCACTCTGTACAAAATTCAATTCAAAATGGATCAAAGACTTGGATGTAAGACTTGAAACTCTAAAACTACTACAGAAAAATTTAGGGAAATCACTTAAAAGTAGGAGTAGGCAATGACATCCTGAATAGGACTCCAAAAGCCCAAGAAATAAGAGCAAGCATTGACAGATGGGATTGCATCAAATTGAAAAGCTTCTGCATTTCAAAGGAAACAATTTCCAGACTGAAGAGATAACCTACAAAATGAAAGAAAATTTTCCAGCTGTTCATCTGACAGGATTAATATTCAAAATGCATAAAGAATTCCAACAATTAAATCCCAAAAGAATAAGTAACCCAGTCAATAAATGGGCACATTATTTGGACAGTTCTCCAAAGAAGTACAAGTAGTTAATAAATGCATGAAGAAAAATTGTTCAACATCTTTATCTGTTAAGGAAATGTAAAACAAAACTACATTGAGATTTCTCTCGCCCCAGTCACAAAGGCTACCATTAAAAAAGCAAACCATAAATGCTGGTGAGGATTTGAGGGGAGAGGAACCCTTATGAGAATGTAAATTAGTATAGCCACTGTGGAAATCAGTATGAAGTTCCTCAAAAATAGAAGAACCATATGACCAGGCTATTTTATTTGTGGGCATGTACATGAAGGAATCAATGTCAGTGTACAATAGAGACACCTGCACACTCATGATTATTTCAGTACTATTCACAATAGCCAAATTAAAGAATCGGACTATGTACCCATCAACAGATGAATGGATAAAGAAAATGTGGTATACATACACAATGAAGTATTATTCAGCCGTAAAGAAGAATGAAAGCATGTCATTTGTAGAAAAGTGGATGGAACTGAAGATCATTGGGTTATGTGAAATAAGCTATACTCAAAAGAACAAATACCACATTTTCTCGTGTGGAATGTAGATTTATTAAAAAGACATGGAAATAGAAGGGAGACTATTTGGGTCAGGGAAGGGTTATAGGGAAAGGAGAACAAGAGAGGATAATGAGGTGAATATGATCAAACTATGCCATATGTATGTATGTGTATATATATATGAAAATGTCATAGTAAAACCCATTATTTTGTATAATATAAACATAAGGAGTAGGCCATTTTATTTAGCAAAAGTAACATAAGAAGTGACAGATAAGAAAGGTGAATACAGAGCTGAACAGTTTGAAAAAATTATGGAATATAGCTGGGATAGGTAGGACCCTGTAACTCTTAAGGATTAGCAGGGTCCAGAGAGAGGTGAGGGAACAGCCAGTGGTGGAGTAGTCAGAACACTTAACAGTATTTATCCATTAAATGTGTAGGTTTATGTGGGTGTAGTTCTTAGTGTCCTAAAACAGTTAAAACAGTAATGTCAAAGATCATTGTCTACAGGCCACCATTGCAGATCTAAAAATAATGAGGAAAGTTAAAACATTTAGAGAATAACCAATGTGCGACCCACAGACAGGAAGTGAGCACTTGCTGTTGGAAAAAATAAGAGTTTATAGACTTGTTCACAATAGGGTGGCCACAGACCTTCATATTGTAAAAAATGCAGACTGTTTAGAGTGCAATAAACTGAAGCAAAACAGGTAAAAGTAAGGGTTGAGTCATCTTCCCAGGCTGTTGCTGACTTTGTCATAAATGGCAAAAGGTGAGTCAAATGTGCTTGCTCATGAGGTTGTGTGTTCAAGATCATTTCCAGAGTTCTTGCTGTTTCTAAATTAGTATTCCTAACTGTCTCTAGACAAAAACAAATTAAAATAAGAAACTTTTTTCTTTCAGCAAAGAAAAAGAAGCCTAAACTTTTAAATAAATTTGATAAGACTATTAAAGCTGAACTTGATGCTGCAGAAAAGCTCCGTAAAAGGGTAGGTTGATGTTTCTGTTTCACACAGAAATGTGCAGTGGCTTTGTTGTTAAGTAAACTCAGGCATGACTGTTGGTTTGCTAAAATGCTAAAAATAATAATGATGTATGTAAAAGAAACAATCTTTGAAGAGAGTGACTGTTTCCCCCAGCACATCAGCACATTTCCATGTGAAGTGAATTGATTCAATTTTAACCAGTGGCCATAGAGAGATAGAATTGCCGACCATGGTCAGCCTACCTCCATCATGTTCCAGTTGTATGGATTTGGGCAAGTCACTTGGCCATTCTGAGCCTCCATTTCCTTCTAAAAAATGAAAATGATAATTGTTTTTTTAATTTCCTCTTAATTTTTGTAAAGATCAAAATGAGTGAAAAAACTATTGACAACACAGTCATGTACCATTTTACTGGAAGTTTTTAATTCTATGTCACCTTAATGCAAAAAAAATTTTTTTTAATTGGTTAAGTCCCACACTCTTGGGATAGTTACTATTAGATGAAATGGCATTGAGTTAACTGTGCTTCTCACTTATGGTTAACTTCATGCACTCCTTGTTTTCTGCATGACAATTTTATTTTCTGCCATCACATAATTTGAAATATTATTTGCATTCCTTTTTAGACATTAAGTTTTGAAAACAAAGAATTGACCCTAAATTGAAATCATTTGTTCCCTTCACTTTGGTTGTATTCCTGTAATTTGGGGGCCCAAAACTATTTATTATAATGTAGTTGGGATAGTTAATTCATCAACTGCTTGTTTTTCATGGAAGTTTCTCTTCCTTTGCTTTTCAAGTAAATTTAGACTGTAACATTCATTAGCTGCCCTGTCATAGGCTTTTTTTTTAATCAAGTGGATATTAGCTGCAAAAAAGCAGAACGAGAATGTAAACAACAATAATAAAAACATATGAAGTAGGAACTAAAATGGGAAAAAAATGAGATTCCCATGTTTGTTGGAAATGTACCAATAAGCATAATGGACTCTGTAACTAGCATCAAACAAGTTATCAAAACCAAGGTTTGTCTTATCCCATTTACCAGTTGATGAAAATGTAGTAACTCCAAAGAATATTATAGCAAAGTTTTTGTTCACTACTGCTAAATTCAAACAGATATAATTATTTCTAAGTCTGTCTTCTTCACCTTAATGAAGTGAAGCCATGTACTACTTGTGAATTTGCATTTCTTAATAGAAATGAAGCAAAAATCCTCTGCCATTGCATTTAGTATCCTCCACTTTCTGTGTACCAAATGCCATATATGAAAATACATGATGTCAATTACACAGGTGACTTTTAGGATAAAATATAAATAAACGGCTTTAGAAAATGATTTTTATGTAGTTAACAATAAATGGTAATGAAAGGATCAGTTACCAAGGGATATATAAGTCAGTGGGATATAAAAGTGCTACAGCCATCCACGGGGTACCCTCTGGTCTTCCTCATTTGGAGAAATTATGATGTTTTCCTCAAGGAGCACTACGAATCTATAGAAGGGTAAATAAAGATGGAAGGAGTAGCCACGCATGCAATTCTTGCATCTGAAACAACTGGGAGCTATATTACTGACTAACCAATCAGGATAATTAAATCTTTTTTAGGGTTGTTTTTATAGTTAGTATTTTCAAAGGATGCAACTTGGTGCAAGAATAACTGAAGGTAGAGTCAAGGCATGCTTGGGACAGAGCCAGTCCTGCTTCATTCACATCTCAGGTTCAGTTTCTGCACTGTGAAAGTTTGTGATCACTTTTCTTCTTCCAAAAATGTATAAATCAAATCAGATTTTAATCATCTAATTTCTGAAAATAATTGTTTAAAGCTCTTCCCTGCCCCTCAAAAAAGATTTTAAAGGATATGCTAAAATATATCATTTATTTCTTGGAATCAAAAAAGAGAAAGTAGGGAAAATACAACAAAGCCAGAATAATGTCAGCACATGAATTTCACACCATAGGCTCTAAGTCATGCTAGGAATGAAGTCACCTGCACTTCTTTGCAGGCAGAACAAGGGGAACAAAAGCAGACTGGAAGATTAATATTATTCATCAGAATAGCTATCTGCACCAAGTCCAGAGAGAAACATCCTGCTTTGGATTGTGGTAAATAATAAAGGATACACTGGTAGATATACAGTATCCTCACACCAATGGATTCTGCAATACATCTGCATGGCTGTGTCATAATGTCCTTAGCACTGCCCATTGGCTTCATACCAAAACAATGTGGCCCAAGCATATGTCTCCAATGAACTGTCTTGGTCGTAGGACAAAATATAAACTATGTTGAGCAGATAACTTTTATGCATGTGTCTTTAAATAACAGTTACATAATGGTGTTAGCTATATAAGACCTTAAAGAAAGGAAATTCTTTCAGACTAAATGCAGACACATTAACATTGCAGCCAGCTCATGTGAGACTAGGTTTGATGGTCCCTTAGGAAAGCCACATAATCTGTATCTTGAGGCAATCCAAAGGATGCCTAGGACAGAGCTAAAATATTCCATAATTTTTACAACCTTGATGATGTCAAAGAGGAACAAGATGCTTTATCAGATTTATTATGAATATTGCTATTCCTGTGTTGTAAATATGACAGTGGTGTGTTTTACACAGTGGTCACAAAAGTGGCTTTAACAATTACAGTTTAAGTTGCATGAGAAAGCTATTAGGCTGAAAGTGGCCCACCAAAAGATAGCCATGTGCTAATCCCTAGAACCTGTAAATATTACATTATTTGGGGAAGGAGTCTTCACAAATATGATTAAGTATTTAGAGATGGAGATTATCCTGAATTATCCATTGGATCAAAATGCAATCATGTTTTCTTGTAAAGGGATTTCCCTTATAGGGAAATTTGATACAGACAAAATAGAAGATGGAACACACAGGGAAGAGAAGACAATATGTATGAAGACAAAAGTGGAAATTAGAGTAATACAGTACAGATCAAGAAATACTAGCAAGAGACAAGGAGTAGAATTTCCCCTTAGAGCCTCTGGGGAAACCATGACTCTGCCAATATCTTGATTTCATTCCAAAGAAATTAATTTTGGTCATTTGTTCCCCAGACTGGGAGAGAACAAATTTTTCATTTTAAGCCACCAAGTTTCTGGTAGTATGTTAAGACATCCATAGGAAATTAATACGATTTTGGTTTTGGACAAAATACCTAAAAATGTAGCAGTGGCTTTGGAATTGGTAATGGGATAAAGACTGGAAGAATGTTAAGGAACATGACAGAAAAAGGCTAAATAGCCTTGCACATGCTATTGGTAGAAATATGATGTTAAAGGTGCTTCTGGTGAGGGCTAAGACATGTGAGGAACACAGTTGAGAAGCTATCTGTTATCTTAGAGAACATATGTTAACATTGTGAACAGAACGAGTATAGAAGTAATGGACGTTAATGGCCCTTCCAGCACGGTCCTAGCGGGAAACGAAATAGATTGAAATCTAAAGGAAAGGTAGCCCTTATTACATAGAGGCAGAAAACTTATCTGAACTGTGCTATACAATTACATGAAAAGCAGAACTTGCAAATAATAAATTTCAGTATTTAGCTAAGAAGCTCTCTGAGCAAAGTGTTTAAGATGTGGTCTGGTTTCTTTCTTCTGCTTATAGTAGAATATAAAAGGAAAGAAGTAAATTGAAGGAGAAGCTGTTAAGGAATAAAGAACCAATACTTGGTTATTTAGGAATTTCTCAGATATCTAATTTACAGAAGATAGTAAAATTAGGAACTCTGCTGTTAGAAAAGCATATTCTGGAGAGAAGTCCAAGGGTAGGGCTGCACTTTTTTTCCTGAAGAAATTTGGTGTGTGACTCTTAGATACATTGAACCATCTCAGCAGAAATAAGGATAAAAATGAGATTATACAGGAGGGGATCTGTGAAGGAGCCTCTTACCTAATGGTGTGAATTCCTGTGACACATGTAGGATACCCACAGATTTTTGAGAATATTATATAGGCAGAAATATTTCCCAAAACAGACTGATAAAGCTAATCAGCAATATACCGGCATTGTCCTCTTAGGAAGAAAGGGTAACTCTAAGGTCAGATCCTTAGACCCAGAGGCCAGAGCCAAGGGTGTAGTAGCCTAGCTGAGGACCCAGTGAACAGAGCCTCAAGCCACAGAACATTATTCCTTGTCCTTGAAACCTAATGGAATTTGTGTGGCTGGATTTTGAAATTGCTTGGAACCAGTGATTCCTTCCTTCCATTTTCTCCTTTTTAAAATAGGAGTGTCTACAAATGTTATCCCAAGCTTATCCCACCATTGTATTTTAGAAGCAAATACTTTGTTTTCTAGTTTCATAGATCCACAGATAAAGAGGAATTTTTCCTTAGGATGTATCCTAACCACAGTGTCATCCGTACCTAGCTTAGATGAGTTTGATGATAAGACTTGAGCCTTTGGAGAAAATGAGGTTTAGATGAGATTTTAGACCTGTATTGATGCTGTAGTGGTTTGAGACTTTGGAGGACATTGGAAAATAATGAATATATTTTGCATATAGAACAAACATGAATCTTTAGGGGACAGAGGGCACACTCTGGTGGACTGAAAAATGCCCTTACCAAAAAATATCTATTCCCTAACCCCTGGAGCCTATAAATGTTACTTTATTTTGAAAGAGGGTCTTTCTAGGTGTGAGGAAGTTAAGGTTCATATAAGTGATATTTTCATTAACCACCTGGGATGGCCCTGAATGTGTCCTTATAAGAAACAGGCAAAGAGAGATTTGATAGAGATAGATAAAAAGAAGACTAACACACAGAGAGGAAGGCAATGTAAAGATGGAGGCAGATATGGGAGTGATGCAGCCACAGGCCAAGGAATGTGGACAGTTACTAAGAGCAGGACAAGGCTAACAGCTTACTGTTCCCCATAGCAAAGCTGGCACCTTGATTATTATGAAACAGATGTTAGACTTCTGTTCTCCAGAATTGTGAGAGAATTAATTGAAGTTGCTTTAAGTCACCAAATTTGTAATTTGTTACCTCAGCCATAAGAAATGAATACAGAATATTTCTTAAAAAGCCACACAGAAAAAGACATTTAGCATAAATTCTTTACCATTTCTTAAAATCATTCACAGACAAAAAGTGTTTTAAAAAATTAATACCATGAAAGAGACAATATATTTTAAACAGTGATGTATCTTATTTATGACTATAGATGTAACTTAGAGAATGTGTTCCTGGCCCTATTTGTTTCTGCATCCAAGTTTTCATCCTCTTTCCATCAAGCTGCCTATCTATCAGGTAATAGGCTTATCTATGAAGGTCCTATTGTGCTGCTCAATAACGTCTATGTTCTCTGCAGTGTCTATAAGTACTTTATGCACGCTAGCATTTAATCTTCACAACAACCTCATGAAGAAGTCAAGTTCTACCATCATCCGTATTCTATAGATGAGGCACTGAGGCAGGATTAGAAGTCACTTGCCATAAGATAACACACCTTGTAAGTGGTAGAGTTCACATTCAATGCAATCACTACATTACATATATATACTTCCAACCTCTCTGCATCACTTCTAAGCATGTGAGAGGAAAATGAAAACGTCCTTCTTTGATAATGTGTAACTAAAGGAATGAAGGAATTTTAACAAGATTGTTGCCTGACCCACGGACATTTAGTCAAGTCTTTCAGAAGTAGCTGTAACTATTGCATAAAAACTCATCTCAATGAAAGTCAAACATATAAATCACAGTGAGTTTGCATTTACATATGTAGAAGAATAGATTCACCAATTTACAGAGAACTGAAGTACCTAGGAAGGTTCAACTTGGAAACTCTCTTATGAATCCTAATATCCTTCGCCTGTTGTGTGTCAGCCAGCTTTCCATCACTGTGACAAATACTTGAGATAATCAACTTAAAAGGAGGAAAGGTTTGTTTTGACTCTGGTTTCAGAGGTTTCAGTCCATGATCTTGGCTCTGCTGCTTTTGAATTTGTGGTGGTAAGCCAGAACATCATAGAAGAAAGCACAGGGTAAAGAACCTGCTCATTTTATGGCAGCCAGCAAACAAGGAGAGAAAGAGAGAGAGAGAAAGCCTGGGGTCCCCATATCCCCTTCAAGGGCATGCTCTCAATGACAGAGCTAGGATCCATTTCCTAAAGATTCCACCACTTCCCCAACAGGACCATGAGCTGGAGGCCATTTCTTCAACACATGGACCTTTGGGGACATTTAAGATCCAAATCATAACATGCTGCCATCCATAGGAATCCAGAAGATGCTTGTTCCACACTGTGGGAGTGGTACTGGATGGAGTTTATTGGAGAGAAACTTCTCAGTGCCAGCCCCCACCAAATCTACCTCTTGCATGTCCATTTCTTCTCAACGCAGTAGTGGTCAGAGATCTAGGAAAGGCACTCGGATGATCTTCTTAAGGACGCATGTGCACGCTGAGAGGGGTCACATGACACAAAGGCAGTGATTTGCATTCCAGCCAGCCAGATGAGCCAAATCAACTTTGACGTTTCAAGGGCAACAGTTACCATGGCCAGGTGATCCTCCTGTCCCATGTGTTTATTCCTCATTCTTTTCAGATGCTTCAAAGCTGTGATGAGACATCTTATGCCTCACAAAGACCCAAGACATTCTTCTGCCAGCAGTATTCATCCCCCTTAGAAAAACATAAGGATCTTCATTGTGAAAGCAAGGAAGAACTGGATATGTTAAGGGAAATGTAATTTCTTTAACAAAAATTCATTTTGCATCACCTTCAGGCATCCCTTTTTTAAAAAATTAGGTATATTATATGCATTTCTAATTTTGTGTTTGCTTTTTTAAAAAAAACTAGGTCAATGTCTTTACAAATTCAGAAAGAAATCTAAAAAAATCTGATAGAATCACTTGATGACTATTAAATAACCAAACTAAGTAACATTATACATTTAGATTTATTGTATTCATGTAATCATGCCTTCCTAACAGGGAAAAATTGAGGAAGCAGTGAATGCATTTGAAGAACTAGTACGCAAATACCCTCAAAGTCCACGAGCAAGATACGGGAAAGCACAGGTATTTGCAAACCTTCTATTTAGATAATCTTGCTGATGTGCCTGTGTTCTGGGTAATAGAATTTTTCACTCCTGGATGTTTGCACTTTCTCTGTTCCCTTTCGTGTGTGTGTGTATGTATGTGCACATGTGTTTGTTGTTTGTGTTCTTGTTTTGTTGTTTTGGGTTTTGGTGGTACTGGCATTTGAACTCAAGGCCTCCCATGTAGATACTCTACCACTTGAGCTATACCTGCCTCAGCAGTTTTTTTTGCTTTAGTTATCTAGGCTGGGATCTTGCAGCTTCAGACCATGATCCTCCATCATCCAGCCTTCCACATAACTGGGATGACAGATGCATGCTTCCACACCCAGCTTGTTGGCTGAGTAAGGTCTTGCTAACTTTTGCCTGGGCTGGCCTAGAACTGCAGCTCTCCCATTTTTGCCTCTCTAGTAGCTGGGATTACATGAGCCGCTCTGCATCCTGGTCCCTCTCCTTATTTCTGTGTATAATTACTTTCTTTGGTATATGCATAAACTCAAGCAAGAAAAAAAACAGACAATTTTTGATATTGCATACTGCTGAATCTTGTGACAGCTGTATGACTTATGTCTAGTTTTGAAATGAAAACAAACAGGAACACTTTTGTCTTTGATTTCCTGTCTCCCCCATCCCATTCCATTTAAACCCACCACACAGTTTTCACTTAGGTTTCCCTAGTTCTTGGTTGTATAACTAGAGGTTGCAAGGATGCTTAAGAAAGACTTTTTTAAAAAATAAAAAGTGGAAAATACCATGTTTTCTCTATAATCTCTTTCATCTGACTCATTTCTTATCAGCCACCCTCTCCCTGTCTCTCACTCTGACTACCTTTTTTACCTGACTTTCCTTATCTTCCAATTCCCTTCATGAAGCTGTAACTGCATGAACCCTCCTGTGCCAGATACTGTTTTAGGTATTGGCAATCTGTGTTTTGTATTCTTTTATGAGATGGTCAAATATGGTCATAATAGGAACGGCTCAGGAAAAAGCAAGCAAACACAAAACCAATTTATTATGCTCCTGTCCTGCAGATAGAAGGCCCAGCAAGCCATGTGGGGCTGGATGGGACAGAGGCCAAGGTGATCAGGAGCAGAAGATCAGAGTAAGAGGAAAGTTTAGGCCATGTCCTTAGTAGAATTTCCAGAAGAAAAACAAGGTAGGGCAGAGTGTACAGTTTAAGATTGGCTAGTTTGAGTAACTTTAGCAGGTCTTGGGCTACTGGAATGGTTTCTGATTGCCGAGCACCTAGTCCTGTAATAAATAAGGCTGAGGAATCTTTCCTCCTCTGGTGCACAGGTCCTTGGAGGAGGTCTGGCTCTGGGTTGGTTGGTTTGTGTATCCAAGACTTGCTCCCTGGCTTTCTGCGATGATGAGCCCCTGGAGCCAACTACAGTCACTCCCCAGCCAGAGGTTTTTTAGGATCTTGATTATCAAAATAAGCAGAAAATTTTTAAAATACTCCTAATATAATGAACACCTAGAGGTCTCTATACTTGTTAATCTTATGTTCTAGTGGAAGATTTTTTGTTTTAATTACTTACTGGCCCACTGTGTGCCGGTCTCTTTTGTGGGCACTAGAGGTCAGCCACCAGCAAAACATACTTTAAATGCCCCTGTCCTTATGGCATCTCTACGGTGAAGGGCAAAACATTGTATAAGATAAGTAAGCATAATATATATGCTTGCTGGTACTAAGTACCAAGAGAAAATATGTGAGGAGGCTGACATGGTAAAACGGTGATAGAGAGCATTTCATCAAGGAGATAACATTTAAAATTATAAGGCATTAAAAATAAAATAGATTATATTACCTAATTATACATGCTATATGGAAAGAAAAGAAGGTAATGGAATAAAGGGCCTTCCTATTAAGATGTTTTGATTTTAGGTGATATTGAAAGTGATAGGGAAAGGCTGGGTGGTGGTGTACATTCAGGAGGCTGAGGCAGGAGGATTGAGAGTTTGAAGCCAGCCTGGACTATGTAGTGAGACCCTATCTCAAAAATAAATAAATAAATAAACTGAAAAAAAAAAGTGACAGGACAGACAGCACATTAGACAGTGTGGTCACAAAAGGGCCCTTTAGGGAGGAGACATGTGGTAGGGTATGACAAGGTTGTGGAAAGTACAGAATGAGGGAACAGCAAAACAAAAGCCATGATGCTCAGAAATAATGTTGACACAAGAAGGAACATACTGATGGGAGGGAGAGGCAGGTGAGATAGGGAGGCCAGGGCCTCATGGATTTTATTCTGTGTGCCCTGGGAGGCCTTGAGAGGGTGTGATTGTCTGTTCTTTTTTTTTTTAAATGAAGATTGCTTTGGTCGTCAGGATTATGCAGACAAAAATAGATGCAGGAAGAATAGGAAGTTTCACAATGTATACAGGAGATGCTGGTGGTCAAGTCCATGGTGACGGGGCAAGTGGACAGGTAGTATATCTGAAAGGATGTGGCGATGGGTTAAATGGAAGGAGCAGAGAATGAGAGAATTCAAGAGTGACTCCTAGTATGGACTGAGCAACTGCAGAAAGAATAATGCCAGTTAATGACCAGAAAGAACAGGTTTAGAGGGAGGCTGAAATCAAGAGTTTGCTTTAGGTCTTGTTAAGTTTACTTTGCTTATGTCTACATTCACGTGGACATATCAAGTAGACCACTGGATTTGGGAGGTTTGGAACTCAGAACTCTATATGTGTCAGATAGTAAAGCTCCTTACGCACCTTCCTTGAGGGGTTAGATTGTCGATCCTGCTGGGAAATGATGGAGGCAGAGCTACAGAAATTTCCAGTCCAAGAAACGTACAATATGCCCTTGGAGAAGGTATGTGCACACATTTGTGCATGACCAACCACAGTTGCTAACACAGCTACAGAGAACACAGTGTATCTTTCTCTGAATAAAGGCAGTGATCACTTCCTATCTCCTCATTGAAAAGTAGTTAATTAAATTTTAATAGATCATGTTTCTGAAAAATTAGTACAAATAATCCTCTAATCCTTGGTACCGACCAGATGTACTATGTAGCAACTATATGATTTTTATAAATTAATCTGACCAGTAATCCTCTAAAATGGCTAAAGTGTATTACTATTAACGAAGAGCAAATGTTCATTACCAAAAGCTCATGCCTGTTTAAATAAGTGATGTGTTTTGTCGCTAGAATTAAGTCCTTTGATTAAAGAAAGCATGTAATTAGAGAGAAAATGGTTTGTGTAAATGTTACCTTAATTATAACAAAAATGTTTTGTATTATGAAAGTTTTCTTCATATGTTATTTTAATTGTGGATATCAAAGTCTAAATAAACACAGTGCTTTTGAAACATGGTGCTCACTCTATTTATATCCTTATTTCACAGAAGGAATTTGAGGTTTAGGCCTCAGGCAATATTTTTTATCTCAATTGTGCTATAGATGTTATTAATATCAACACTAATGTGGCTTCAAGCAAAAGCTAGGCATGGTAAATTAAATTTTAGTGGAGTAATTTAAAGGAAACTTTAAATTCATAGGCACTTAAAAATACAAATTCAACAGAAGATAGAATTTATGCTGGGTTTATGGCACATGTCTTTAATCCAAGCACTATGGAGGTAGAAGCAGGAGGATCAAGATTTCCAGGCCAGCCTGAGCTATATAGCAAATTATAGGGCAGTCTGGACTACAAGACCATGTCTCAAAAAATAAGAAAAAGGATAGATTTTATAAGGAGGAGTAAATCATGACATTTTTAAAAATCTCAGCAAGATTAAGTCAAATACAAACTATAGTCTCTATTACCATTCCTGAAGTAGCACTGATTTCATCTTACTCTTCAGGTCATGGTCAAATCAATTTTGAACAAGTTCCCTAAACATCAGACACACAATCTTAAACTACAAACTCACAGTTATGTCTCTGAAGCAGAAAATGGCGCATCTCCTCAGAAGGAAGTTTTCCTGGGCGCATTATCTGTCCGTCAAGGGCCTGGTGATGTTAATGTCCTATAACAAATAACAGATGTTCTATCTTCAGACGCTAAACTGATGAAAAACCCATCTTTATAACTGTGATCCAAACAAGTTCCTGTCATTTTCACTGAAGAATTTTTAAAGGATTTCTATGCCCATTTTAACACTGATATTTTCCTACTTCTAAAAGTTGGAAAATGTTCATACTTCATTGAAATGGAGAACCCTGGAGTTGGGGAAAGAGATAATCATATAGATGACTTTATCATCTTTCTCTCTTTTCAGACTGAGTATAAAGAACCTATTCTTGTCTTTATAAAGGTTAGTTGTCATGGCAGGCATTTGTCTTTCCAAAAGCCTTGCAGGGACCTCAGTTCAAAGATCTATTTGGTATCTTTGTGGGTTCCTAGTAGAGGGGCTAAACTTGATAGTCTCCGTAAGATTTTCTCAGCTCTGGGACGCTGTGTTTCTGTTAAGTCATCTGTCAGTGTTCACGGTCTGAGGAGTTAACACCATAGCCAAATTCACAAGAAGCTGATGGCGAAATAGAAAACCTGGGTATGAATATACAATGGAAGGCCATGACTGATATGGGTCTTTGACATTGGACTTTCTCTCCTGGTAGATAAATCTGTTCTGGAGACTATTTACAGATTTGAAAAGATAATTGAATGGCTTCAAGCAAGGATGAGTTGCCATTTTCTAATCTTAGAGATTTTTGTCCTACCCATTTTCCTTTCTCATTAATCTGCTCACTTCTATCACCACAGCTGCAGTTTTTGGGAAACTTGTTAGTTAGTACATATTAACAAATTATTTCATTTATGTGTGGTTTTCTGAAGAACTTCTCACACATGTCTAATTTTATTAATCAGATTGGTTCTTACTCATTTTTTTTCATTTGAGAATAGGAGAGAGATGGATCATTTTCTTCCCAAGTCTTCAAATTGCAGAATGATGCTTTAGACATCTACAGACCTCTGTACACATAAAATGTATGACCTCATAGCACACATTTTATGTTAATAAACCACATCTCACTCCCAGAAAGTGAATGAATGAACAAATGAACATACAAATGAAAGAACCCAAACTTTGAGCTAGAGTCCTGTTTATATAATGTTCTCATATAATATATAAATCCTTATCAGCCCTAGCATGTATGTCTTGCTTTTATGATGTTATTTCTCATCTATAGCTTAGTAGCAACTTTTCTTCATATTATTAAAACAGCACATTGTTTTGCTTTTGTTTGTTTGTATTACTTGATAAAGAAAAGAAAGCTTAATATGTCTGTAATTTCTTTTAAAGCATGTCCGAAAGGTAACTCTTTGTGACTATTTTGGGGAATTGCAAACATGGCTAGTCATGGGATATTCACCCTCTTTTGCTCTAGTGTGAAGATGATTTGGCCGAGAAGAGGAGAAGCAATGAGATTCTTCGCAGGGCTATTGAGACCTACGAAGAGGTGGCCAGCCTTCCTGACGTCCCCACAGACCTGGTGAGGCTGAGTTTGAAGCGGCGGTCAGAACGACAGCAATTTCTAGGTGAGATGTGCTAGGAGTTAATTCAGTAGGAAGTAGCATACTTCTATCTTAAGGAGCCTGAAGGCCATGAAACTCAGAAAGTAAAGGAGGAAACCTGTTTCATAACTAATTTACAGCAGTTTATCTAACTGTCTTGGACTAACCCTTGCTAAAGCTGAAATAGCATTCCCACCCTCAATAATTACAAAGATGCCAACATCATTTCACACCAACCTTGCCCTCCACCATTTTAAAGGTGAGGCAGCTAGAATGCTGAGGGCTTGGATATTTGCCTGAGGGACAGTAGTTAATAAATAAATAGGACTGGAATTAAAAACTTTCTGTATTGCCAAATTCTTTTCTTAACTCTACCAAACTGATTTGTAGTGGTCAAAATTATCACTAGAATAATTTTAATCAAGGAATTTAAGGCATTCCAGACACTCCATAAATTTTACCTGTAAAATTTGAACCTATACCAAGGAAAGTGCTAGAAAATACATTTTAGTCATAAAGTAAATTTGCCAAATACTTTAGAAAGAGCTCTTGACTGACCCCAGTTTTCATTGTCAAAGGCAAGTATGACTAGCTGTCAGCTAATTCCTTTCAGCCAGGTTGTGGTTCTCTTTTTCTAACATGTGAACAAGGAGAGAAGGATCTAAGTCACGTATCACTGGAGAAGTGGGTGACCAGTGACTGTGTAGTTACATGAATAGGTTTTTAATGTCACTTTGTCAGGCCCAGCTGACCATTTTATCACTTTTCAGAGGGATAGAATAGTGGAGTGTGTGTCAGTTTTGTAGATGACCAAACTGTGAGGAGAGTAGATCCCAAGTGATGACTAAAAACTACAAGAAATGGTTTATTAGACTATTTTCATAAAGGCCAGTCCAGGGGCAGGAAAGATACAGCACAAAGATAGGACAGAAAAGGCTTCCGAAGTTGAGACAGGCAACTAAGCAGCTGCCTTGGATACAGAATTAGTGTTAATGATGCCTCCTGCTCCAGTATGGTGCTGTTTAGTGCTGTTTAACTCTGTTTAATGATTCTTTAAAATTTTAGTATTTTGTTCATTGTGGATTTTTACTTTAATTTTGATTTTTAAAAGTATGCATTAAAATACTATTCCTCTCTGAATTATAGTTTGTTTTTTTTTTTTTTGCTCCTGCTTAAGTTTTCTGCCAACTACCTCACTTGCCTCACCAGCCCTTAAAGAAGACTGCCTGTGAAGAAGTCTAACCCTCCTCCACAACAGCCCTCAGTACAGCTCTTATTGCTGAAATGAGAATGAGGCAGGGGCACCTGAGGAGGCTCTAGGGCAACTGGGCAGAAGACATTAATGGCAGAGTGGGGATGTGACTCATTGTAGAACAGTGTTCACATCAACAGAGTGGAGGGACAGGATGCGGATGGGCTCAGTTCTACTGGAATATAATTAGCCAGCAATAGGGCACAGGCAGTGGGGCAAGTGGGTAACATTTTATGCCAGATAGCTTGTTGCTTAAGTAGACAACCACCTTTGTTTCTTGATAGTCCTACTGTACTCTTGGCTAATATTCAGTTTGTGCACAAATAAGCCTTTAGGTAATTAGTTTTTTCATATATGCTAGTCTTATTTAGAACATTTTTTTTCTTGTAAAGTTTTTATTCCAACTGTGGCAAGGAGTAATATCAATCAAGCCAAGACATTTGCATAAGACATCCTTAAAAGTAAATGGAAGCTGAGGTTTTCATAATACACATAGTGCATAGCATCCTATTGTCCACCAGAGGGTCCCATAGTACTGAGTGATACATCCTTTACTCCAGGACTAGGTCAGTACCTAGAGACCTGCACTTCTAGTTGGAGGTGGTGTCAGGAATCAGTGTCTTCAAGTTTTATATCAGGTGCTGAATCCTGGAATCATTTAGAGTTTTTGTATTTCTACCCTGTACTGTAATTTTAAACTTAATAAACCAAAAAATATTTCAGCAAAAAATTTTAAGAAGAATTGGCAGGTAAAACTTTCTTAAAGAGTTTGACACAAAAAGGTAAATGTTGATATATTTAGAAAATGAGTGTCTTTACAATGCCTTTGATCAATATTATATACAGTATCTGCCTACAGAAATTATTGATACCATTGCAATTACATCATGAAGTCATTCTAAGTACTTATAAACTATTAATAGACAAAGTCAGATTTAAGCTACTTCTCAGCTCCCGTTGCACAGATTGTCATGATTTGTATTCTCAGTACAAAGGTATATATAATCTGCTTTTATTTCTGTTCATTTTTTTCTTCACCCCAATCAGGTCACATGAGAGGTTCTTTGCTTACCCTACAGAAATTAGTTCAACTGTTTCCCACTGATACTTCCTTGAAGAATGACCTTGGAGTGGCATACCTCTTGATGGGAGACAATGACAATGCCAAGAAGGTATATGAAGAGGTGAGCATCAGTCTTCTATGAACTGTGTCAAACTATCTTGAACATGAAATCTATTCCTGTTTGAAAGTTACATGTAATGTTCCTAGTCTCTCATTCTCTTTTCTTTAAAATAGTATATAAGTATTAAACTTTGTTTTCATATTGCTTTTTCTTTTTTATTAGAGGATTTTAAATCTTAGTGAACACTTCACATCAAAACCTTCAACTATAGTTGTGATTTTTTTTTAATTCTTTATATTGATCAGTCCATAGACAACTTCTGAAAGTGTTCTTTGTGATGGGAAGAGAAACTCAAATTCGCATGAATGTAAAATAATGCAATCTTTTCTCTTTTGTACTAGAAGTCTGGTCCAGAGGAAGACTGGCACATGGGTCTTTTCGACCATGTGGAGTAGGTTACTCACTTTTCAGAAAGGCATTGACTTTTCTATTCTCTGGCAAGGATGCCTTTGAAAGGATTTCTGCCTTAAAATGGATGTTTTAATAGATAACCTCTAAGTCCCAAATGACTATAAAACCTAGAAAACTAGCTCCTTTAGTCAATGAGAGAATTCATTTGGTACAGAACAGGCAAGATATCAAATGAACTTAAAGCAAGAGAAAGTTAATGACTGTTAAAAAAAAGACAGAGATGTTTCCATGTAATTCTTTAATTCAGGACTATACATCAATGGCTTTCAAGCTACTGCTGTTCACATCAAAATGCTACTACTCCATGTTAACCCATATGATTCTTTGTATTTTTAAACTACCATCAAGTACAGCAATATTATACTAAGTCCAGAGACCTGGCCCATTCCCAAAGTGGTGCTTTCCTTTGCATATTGCTGCTGATGCTCAATTGAAAATCATTGACTTTTGAAGCAGTTGTCTTTTTACCCTTGTCCTCATTTTTAGTTTTTCTAAGAGAGCCAAAATAAGACTTTTGCTTTTTATAGCATCGCTAATATCTATACAGGGTAGATTGAGCCTACAATGTGGAAAATGCAGGCCACCTACTCAACACCTGTTCCAGGTCATAAGATAATTCCATATGGGACATGGCATTTGCTAATGGCCCAGATATACTCAGTGATTTGGGATCTTGTGACTATAACAACTGTCAGACTATACCAAACATACAGTTTTCATTCTGCCACTGCCGTATGCCACAAAAGTGAAGATACAGAGATTTTCCTGCCTGCCTGCATTCTTTCCTTCCTCTTCCCTTTTTCTGTGTTCCTTATGTCCTTCCCTTCTTTATTTCTTTCCTTCCTTCCTGTTTTCCTTCTTTCCTTTTTTCCTCTCTGTCTGCATCCCTCTTTCTCTTTCTTCAGTCTGAATAAGCTGATGAAATGCTGATGGGGTGCCAGGCATAGAGTGGTTAGAGTGGGATTTGAAAATATAGTAGGATTTCTAACCCATTATGGATTTGTCCTTTCTCCCTTCTTAAAATCATCCTTGGATATACACATCCCTCTTGCTTGACACTAAATCTCAAATGTGTGAAGCATTTAACTTCACCTTGAAAAATAAAAATAAAATTTACCTGCTATTTACATACTTGAGACCATGATCTTATCTGATCAAGCACAACAGGATGAAGACTGTAAAACATAGCCGTATTATATAATTGTGGGTTTTTTAAAAAGAAGCATTAATAGATTGAAAATTTAAGTGTGGGATTTGCCCTTTCCCCTTCTCCTGTCCCTTCTAGGTTAATGAGCTAAATCTGATGAATTCTGTTTCCTCAACCACAGTTTATCCTGATATCTTTATGTCGCTGTCAAAGATCATTTTCAGAAAACTAATACTATAAGTTTTACATTGATTTTTATTTTTGAGTAAATGTATAAGAATCACTAATGTGGTTCCTGTTCTGGGTTTTTGCTGCTTCTAGTTTCAAAAGAGACTTGCTTTAAAATGGTTTGATGTGAATTACTCACATCTGTAGCTTTTGGAGGCTTCTCCTGTGTCTCCCTTCCAAGTTGGTGACAGCTACCCATGCCACCCCTGCTCCAAAGCCAGCTCTGATAGTTCCTCATCCTCACACCGGTCCTATACACATTTAACTCACATTTATGAAAACCCACACACACCAGCTCAGAAATGGTAGTTAATGAAACAAACACAAATGTGTCTTCATAGAGTTTACAGTTGGTGCCACACCACTGATTTCTGTTTATTCGATCTTCTGCACCTCCCTCCTCTGTAACTGAACACAGATTTACTCTCCATAGGTTTACTCTCTTGACTTCATCAACCCCCAAACACAGTCTGACCATCTCGTTTGGATCCAAGTCTTCCATGGGAATTGCCCACAGCAATGGTCTTTAACCATGTGTGATTGCACTCCCTTCAGGAAAGTGCTCAAGCAAATACTTGCAATATATTTGTTTATGGATTTATTACATGCATTTATATATATGTACTAATATAGTACACATTATTAAAAATACCCCAAAATAAGTTTTTAAGATGAAAGAAAATACTTAAAATGCTTTTCAAATTTTTTTCACTAACAAAAAACCTTTCACTCATTAAAAAAATTAATATTTTAGTAATGTCAATGCACAGTGCTATTCATGGCTACAGTAATCTCCCCAGTCCATGGTGGATCTATTCCAAGATCCAGAGTGGATGCCAGAAATTGAGGATAGCACAAAATTGTGTGTGTGTGTGTGTGTGTGTATTGCATTACACTAGTGCTTTGGGGACCATTATTAAGTAAAATGAGGATTTCTTGAACACAGGCACTTGATACTGTAGCAGTTGGGGATGGAAATGGCTACTGACTAACAGGTGGGTCATGTATACAACATGGGTAGGACAGAGCAGAGTCATGTGAGATTTCATCCTGCTACTCACAATGGCACACACTTTAAAACATATGAATTGTTTATTAATGGAACTTATCATTTACTATTTCCAAACTGTTGTTGGTTGCAGAAAGTGAAGCCCTGGATAAAGGAAACTTCTGTATTCTTTTTTTTTTAAGTCCTTGGGAATGTCTTGCAAAGAGTTTGCACTGGTTATAGAAATGTCAACTGTATTGGTTTGTTGTGGTTGTTGTCTATGCTGTTTGTATTTTTAATATATAAATCTAAATCTATATAAATAGTTATATTTTAGTTAAACATCTATATATTATATATCAATATATAATAGATATATGTTTGATATCGCTATATCCTTGTAAATAATGATATAGAAATATAATCTATATAACTGTAGTTAGAGAATATAAATAGTTATACTTTTAGTCTCAATCTGGGTTTCTGAGAAACCTTATAAATTCACTTGTCATTTTCTGTGTCTGTGATTGTGGCTAGATAATACCATTAATTACACATGCATATATAAACTGCAGAAGCCTGGTACTTAAAGGTAAGTACTGATAGAAGGAGAGCCACAAGCCTGCTTCGTGCTAAGAATATTTCAGAGACAGATATAAGTAGAAATGTTTGTAATTTCTACTCTCCAGGAGATTATCTTATAAAAAAGGACACTTCGTGATTTAATGTGACTTTGTCCTCTTTCCAAACTCTTCTATTGCCTTTTGTGTATAATTTAAGAACAGTCTTTCTTGCTGTTTTGCTGTTTCTGGTCCCTTTTTCCTTCTCCTGTGCTATGAGTGCTTTGTCCCCATTTCCCTTTTTCTAGCAAATTCCTACTCATCCCTGAGTGCCTTTTGGACCTTGCTCCCAGTCACACTGATCCTAGAGTGAGTTGGATGTCCCCCGCCCCCCAGGGCCACTGCCTGGCCTTCTTCCTATTTCTATAAGCTATCCTCACCACCTTGCACTATTATTGTCTGCTTGTGAATGTATCTCCCTTGCTTGACTGAGTATCCCCTGAGAAAAGAGAGTATATCTCATCCGTGTTTATATATCCAGGGCCTAGAAGAGTTTAGTATATTCTGAAATTCCTAGTAAATGATTGAATTTGTTAATTACTTGAGATGATAGCTATGTGCCTACAGGAGGAAAAAATGTTATCTTGTAGCTGAAATAACTGTGATTCTCCCTGTGTAGCTGTTCTGGCAGAAGCATGATCTGCATTGACTCTGTTCAATTCCAGAGGTACACATTAAGCTCCTACTCAGTGTCTAGCTTGGGACTATTGCTATGGATATTGCAAAAGAAGCAGCCCTTGCTTCTAGAGATCTGATAGGGAAGACAGCCGGCATGTACCTGTTTGTGCACTTAGCACAGAGGTCCTGAGTAAGGATGAACATGAGCAAAACAAAGTCCCTATAGATCTTAGAGGGGTGGTTAAAAAAAACATAATAGGTCAGGTGGTGGTTAGTGTTATGGAGAAAACTGAAGTAAGATAAAGAAGTTGGAGAGTGACTAGTGCTGGGGGTGAGGTTATTTTTAGTAGAGGGGTTGGTGATCAGTGAGGCTTCAATGAAATAGTCACCTTTGAGCAAGGACACTGTCATCCAGGTAAGGGAGTGAGCCATCTGGATATCTGAAGGGAGGAATGTTTGAACTAGAGGAGTACTGTGAGTGCAAAGTACTGAGGCAGAGGTACCTTTGGCTTGCTGTGAGCAACACAGAGACCAGAGTGCCTCAGAGGTATGGTTGGGAGGGGCAAGAGAGGAGCCCAGATAGGTAAAGTCCTTGGAGACGGTTCCAAGAACTTGGTCTTTCACACTCTGAGTGAAATGGACCCAAGGGGGATGAGATATGACCCAGGATGTAGTGGTTCCCTCAGGTCCCCATGTGGAGAATAGAATGCAGAAATATAGAGGGACTGCAGTTAGGAGGCTTCTGAAAGAAGGTTCGTGCCAGGGTGGCAGTGGTAAAGGACATGACAAACATTATAATTCAGATTAGCCTTTGAGGTATTGTTTTCCAACTTCATGAGTAAATGAGTTGCAGGATGTGATCCAAACTGAAAACACTCTGGGCAGTGTGTACAATGTGGACTCACCAAGAATGGGGCCTCCCTCTCTCCTGGGACCCTCTGTAGGGTTCCCATGGTGGCCATGCCTTCCCTTTTCCTACTCTGGCTCAAACCAAATGTGCTTCTTTTCTCTGTCACCCATCAAATCTTCATCTTTCTCTTTTGTTCCATACATTCATTATCTGAGAAGCTACACAAGTTGAATGTTGTTGTTGTTTCGATTTCTTACTTCTAATATTTAACTTAGAAGTATTCCACATAATTTAACTTTAAATCACAGTCAATGTATATAATAATAAGCAATGGTGTGTTTTGTATGCAATATTTGCCTGGGTTTGTCACAGGATTTGCTCACCAACTTTATCCTTCCTTGCTTAAAACAGTCTAGGCACTCAATACATTTCTATTGTAAGAATGGAAGCTGATATATTAAATACAATATGTAAGTACCAATTTCCTCTTAATTAAGGCCATGCATAAGGCATGTATGATGTATGTAAAACAGAATGTAATAACCATTCAGAGTTGTTTTCAAACAGCAAATTTAAAGCTGTTTAATCAGTGAAAAAAAAATATTAGAGCCGTTGCAGTTGACAGATATTTTGCTGATTTGCATTGTTAAAACGATGCTCCAACACTTACTGCCTTTTTGTTCATGTCTGTATTCTTGAACAACCAATATGTACCTGTGAAAGCATATTGAGTTGAGAGGAAATAAGGCCATTTAAGTTTAATGGTTGCAAAGAGACAAAATACTATAGTGTTTGTAGCTGTAACATCATAATCTAATCCAAGTACAGCAAAACTAATTAAAATTTGTTTTGACAGCCATTTTCACATCTTCTAGTCTATGACAATAGTTTTCTTATTTTCTTTGAATATAGGTTCTAAATGTGACACCTAATGATGGCTTTGCTAAAGTGCATTACGGCTTCATCCTGAAGGCACAGAACAAGATTGCTGAGAGCATTCCCTATTTAAAGGTAACTGTTGTTGCTCTTCCTCTCTTTTCATCTTTCGATTTCTTGGAGTCATTTGAACACCCTTGATTATACTTCAAGATTGATTGGCATGCACTGCTGAGTCTTCATTGTCAGAATGTTCACCCTCTGACTGTGCCACTCACAGGCAGCATGGACCTCCTCTGTAACTGAGCATCAAGTGTAGAAATAGCAACTCTGTGAGCAGAGTCCATTTGGAAGAGACTATGGAGGAATTTCTAAAACTGAAATTGTTGCAGTTTTTGAATAATGGGAAAAGTAGACAGAAATCATTGGCACAGTATTTTAAAAATACTGTGGCCAGTACACTAAATGTTCCTTTTACAAGTTAATTATGTCTAAAATCTATTCTGAATAGGGCTTATGGCTTCCAATACAAATGTAGACTGAAAAAGTCAAACTCCAAAAGCCTATCTGACTGCTCGAATTATTTAAGCTAAAATTTGTTACTTTATCCTGACATATCTAAGTGAATCCTTATCGGTACACCAGAACCATAGTTGGTCTAGCTCAGGACTGTTGACCCAGCTTTCTGTTACGACAGAAATATTTCTTATCTATATTTATTATGATAGCTACTAGCCATGTGTGACCACTGAGCACCTAAAACATGGCCATGGTAATCGAGAAAGTGAATTTTAAATTTATTTATGTCATTAATTTTGATTTAAATAGTAACAATTTAGTAGCTAGTGGCTACTATATTGAACAAATAGCTGGTCTGATGGCTGTGAACATTTTTTTAAAGTAGTGGTGTGTTACAATTCTGTGATCTCTTTCTTTCACATGACTTCAATCTGAGATACTCAAATAGCAACTTACTGATTGAAAATAGCTTGAGTGATTTATTTGGAAAACACAGTTCTATTTAAAAAAACAACTCTTATTGCTTCCCTTCCTTGAGAATCTGCACATTTTATGTAATCATACAGATTTCTAGTTTCTCTTGAAAGATTTTACCTGCCCCATGGTCCTGGGACACAGAGCTCAGTGGTGGTGCCCCCTGGAGATGGGCCTGTGCTGTCTGTCCTGGCTGCCCCTGGGCGCCCTGTGGGCATGTCGGTTCCTGTGACTTAAAGTATGTCCTCACATTGCCTTTGACCTAAGAGAGCCTGTTTGTCTCTCTGAAGCCTATTAACTTCAGAGACCAGGAGGCAAGTGCATGATGGACCCAGAGTTATTTAGCAAGCAAGAATGCCTAAGTGCCGTCAGTCATCATGTTACTTGCTACTTTTCAACATTATGTAAATAAAATTTCCTCCTAGTGAAAGATAATTTCTTCCTAGTCAAGAGACCTCAAAGATGCAAATATTTAGAAAAGAAGTACTTAGCATTTAAGTACTTTTTACTTTTCTCTCTTTTTTGTTTTTCCAAATTCATTCTCTTACTTTAGTATTCTCTCTCCTCTCTGTCTGTCTCTCTTTCTCTCCTCTCTCCTACCCTCTCTCCCCAACATACATAAATATCGATTTCAGTCCTTGTGTGAGAGGTGGGGAAAAATAAGCTAAATGTTTTAGAATAGGAATTCTTCAAGATTCCAGTTGGCTTTAATCCTGTAAGTTTTATAAAAAGGTTCATTAAAAAGTCACGACACATTTGTTTTGAGAGGAAAGAAATATGACTCGCAGTTGGGCTGTCATCACTTCAAACGAGCAATTAAACATTTTGGTTCAGGAATAAAAAGACTCTACATGGCATATGGTCAGATTTGGAGAGCAAAATAAATGTGAAAGATGCCCATCCAGAGAAATTATTTGGAATATTGAAATATGATTGCTCCCACACTGAAAGTACATAATATCATGCTGATTTTATGGGCTATTCTACTATTAGTGAATGATAAATATATTGTTAAATTTCATTTTGTGGCCTCCTTTTATTTTTGCATTATAAATATTGACTCATTACCACATTTAAATACTGAGATATATATTTCTTTCTTGGCTTTTCCTTTGACACCATATTTCATATTTTGGAAATCAATGAATAACATCTCATATTTAATTCTTTCACAAATACTAATGCTGTCCTTCCACAGGAAGGAATAGAATCTGGGGATCCTGGCACTGATGATGGGCGATTTTATTTCCATCTGGGGGATGCCATGCAGAGAGTTGGAAACAAAGAGGTAATGGATGGTGACTTTTTGTTCTAACAAAGGATGGAGTGGGGTGGAGAGAGGGACATTATTTCTAGGAGAAAGTTACAACTGAACAAACATTTTGAGCATAAGCTTTTGAAGTCAGAGTTTAAGCTATTTAGTTATATAACCTCTAGGTTTACAGAGGTTATATAGCTAAATAACTAAATTAATTTTGTAAAAGATTTCTGGTATTTGGCTTTTTTTCTTTTTTTTTGTGGTGCCACAGTTTGAACTCAGGGCCTACACCTTGAGCCACTCCACCAGCCCTTTTTTGTGACAGGATTTTTTGAGATAGGGTCATGAACTATTTGCCCAGGCTGGCTTCGAACTGCGATCCTCCTGATCTCTGCTCTTGAGTAGCTAGGGTTACAAGCATGAGCCACTAGCACCTGGCCTGATATTTCTCTTTTATAGTTTCTTTCAAGCAATCAGCTAAATAATCACAAGTACAGCCTCTAATTTGGGGGGAGGGGTGTGAATGAATGTGTATCTGTGTGTGTCTGTGTATCTATGTGTGTATAAAGAGGTAAACATTGCCATAGGGAAGTATCTTTAAAATTATGAAATGAAGAACTGTCTCTGAAATTGTTTACATTTTTTAAAAAATATTTTAGCAGTTTGCTATTGTTTTTATCTTGGAATTCTTAAAATTGCTATTTTTATAATGAAGTCTTTGACCTATTCCTAAGCACACTGATCCTAAAGGTTAATTGTATAACTTACCTTTTGAAATATTTAATACTAAGCTTAAGCTGAACATTTGCAGTGAGAGTAATGACAGGTACTGACACAAACAGTGTGGTAGTTAAGCATGTTTTCTTTGTGATTATTACTTTTTTCTGAGTCAACTTCTGTAAACATAATCTTGGATCATTAGTCATGACAACATGTTTTATAAATTTTAAACCTCTTTTACCATCCACCATGATCTGTATGGCTCTGCTGGCTGGCAAAGCCCACTTCTTCCATCCTATGCCATTACAAGGGTTCTAGGCTCAGCTGTCCTTAGAGTTAGTGGATAAAAATATGATGTGGGATGCTGAATCTTTGTACCCACTGTATTCCATGTGTGTTTAAAGTGACATCTAAGAATAATACAGTGTCAAATTTCTAAAATGATTAAGAACATAGGACCCTCTGGACACCCAACAGCTCTGAGAAGCAAAGGGGTTTGTGACAGGATAAGCACCTGCTAGAGACATGAACAAATTTGGGGCAATAGTAGTTTGCATAATTGATAGTATTTTCTTTATACATTTCTACTAATCTGTACCTTGCCCTCTCTAACCTAACAATCAGTCAACTAAAATAGAATGAGACTTTAGAAGTGAAAAGGAAGACAGAAGAAATTGCTGAGTAGTAGTCATTATTTTTATTCCTTTTAGATATAAAAACAATACTCCTTTGAGTAAGAGGGATAAGAAAGATTTTGCTGCAGATTTATCTAATGCTGGATAAATGTTCACATCTGACAACTATAAATATAATTGTCACTAATTAACTTTTCTTTGACTATTTCATGGTCCAAGGCAATGACAGATAAAAGAAGTATATGGTTTATCTTAGATGAAAACAGCCCTTTCTTTAGGGACAAAGAATTCACTACTAAACACTTGTTAGGGCTTGGTATTGAACCTACAGGACTATTCTACCAGCTTAATTATCAATAATATGCAAAGAACAGTGCAGTTCTTGAATTTGAAAAAGTTCACATGGATTCATCCTTATAAGAGGTCAGAAACAAGCCTCCAGAAGCCCCATTTTAGGATCTTCCTGACATTGAGTATTGAATCTGCATCTCTGAGTTTGCATATCAGAAAGTAGCCACCCTCTGTACTAGAGAGGCTGACCATAAAATGGGTTTTGAAGAAAATCTTGTAATAATCAACAGCAAAGATGAGGAAAACACACCAAGATAGTCTTGCAGCAATTCAGCTTCAGCTGTTACCAGTATTTCCATTACTTCCAGATCCACATCCTGGCTTCTTATCTAGTCTTTTTCTCTAAGTCCAGTTTTTTATGTTTATTACCAACTTGGTAATACCACTCAGATGTTACAGAGACAATTCAGTGTCTTCCTCTAAGCTGTTTCCTGCAGAGTTCCATCTCTCATTCCATGATATTGCCAGCTTCTCAAGATCAGATTTGAGTCAGCTAAGGCTCAGTCTAATTAGAACCAGTTATGGCGATTTGGCTTCCTGGGGTCTTTGGAAGCCACCTTTTCCCCCCCACCCAGGGAGTGTTAATTCCAGCCTGTGTCATCTGCCATAAGAACCTGGCTGTTGTTTCTTGCTTTTATCTCACTTTCTGTCATGCCAACCTATACTCAAAAAACTTGTGGTGCAAAATGAAGTTCTGTTTCCACGCAGTGGCATTTACAGTCCTCCACAGGCAAGTTGCAGCCCAGTGTTCTCAGCAGAAGTCCCAAGCCTGCTACAACACACTACAGACAGCAGGATCCAGCTGACCCATTGCTCAGATATGGCCCAGGATTTTTTTGAGTTGGAATCTTTCAGTCTTTCTGCATATTCTGTGTGTGTGTGTGTGTGTGTGTGTGAGAGAGAGAGAGAGAGAGAGAAGAGAGAGAGAGAGAGAGAGAGAGAGAGCCACGCATAGCAATAGTTCAACAAAAGTAAAGGTGACATTGACAAAGAACATATTTAAGAAGGTGACCTAGGCACTCCTACTGTCTACTTCATTATTCCTGATTTAGATGTATAAAATTCCTGATTGGATAGGAAATAGTAAAGAGAAATTTTTCACAGGTTTTCTAAAGTGATCATAGATTTTCTAGCAATTTTTATTTTCAGGTAGTTTAAAGGTTAAAATAATCCATCTAAATTCACTGGGTCCCTATTTAGTACATTAATAAAAGTAATTTTTAAATTTCTGATTTATCAATTCTTGACTTTCTCTTGAAGGCTAAATGACAGAAGAGGGCAAAATTAAAGCTCCCGTTTGATGCAGTGATCCATACTTTGAGTGTCAAATAGCCCTCACAGATTCTCTAAACCTGTGCGTGGAGGGACTGGTCCAGGCATCCAGCAGAGTGAGAAATAAAGCCTAAGGCTCCTAACTCCTGAGTTAGAGCTGTTCTGTTTGTTGTTTCAGTTTTTCCCCATTAGTCCTTAAAATGAATTGCTAATAACCCCAAAATTAGTTGACCTTCAGACTTTCACAAAAAAATCTGTTGTAATTAATATTGTTCACTTCATCACCAAAAGGTTTAGGAAATAAAATCCCAAGTTCAAAGTGGACAAAACCACAATAACCAAATTAATTTCAAGGTGACTTCAATGTCTTTTTTTTTAAGCTGACAACAATTAGCCATTTTAACTTTCTGGCTTTTAAAGATACTTTGGCTACAATTTCATGTACTTGAAGGAAAATATATAAGAATGGATTAGTGTAGTGTTCTTAATTTGAGATATTAATGAGAAAGATAACTAAATAAGAAAATTACTTTCAATTTTTTTTAACAATATAAAGATAGAAGAAGAGAGTTGAATGAGCTGCCAGGGGCTGTGGATTCAAGTTCCAGATATTTCACCTTTATAAAGCTCATCTTCAACATTTGTAAAATGGAGATATTTGGGGCTGTTAGAAAGATCAAGTGATATCACACATGTAAAAGCAAGTAATAAGCTATAAAACATTACTGAAGATATGAGGTGGCATTGCTGTGTCCCTTCACTTATTTTAATTTTAAATGTGAATGTTAAAACACTTTTAAAATGTAATCGTTTTTACCTCTAAAAACTATAAAGTTTTATAAATCCACTTTTTCAAGTTGATATTAAGTGCTTGTTTTTATTGATCAAAACATTTTTTAATTGGGTATGGAGATTCAAACTGTACTCTCAGCACTTGGGAGGCTGAGGCAGGAGGATTGTAAGTTCAAGGACAGCCTGAGCGCCATAGTGAGATCCTGCCTCATCTACCATTTGATCCAGCAATACCACTCTTGGGGATATACCCAAAAGACTGTGACACAGGTTACTCCAGAGGCACCTGCACACCCATGTTTATTGCGGCACTATTCACAATAGCCAAGTTATGGAAACAGCCAAGATGCCCCACTATTGACAAATGGATCAAGAAAATGTGGTATCTATACACAATGGAATTTTATGCAACCATGAAGAAGAACGAAATGTTATCATTTGCTGGTAAATGGATGGAATTGGAGAATATCATTCTGAGTGAGGTTAGCCTGGCCCAAAAGACCAAAAATCGTATGTTCTCCCTCATATGTGGACATTAGATCAAGGGCAAACACAACAAGGAGATTGAACTTTGATCACAAGATAAAAGCGAGAGCACACAAGGGAGATATGAGGATAGGTAGACACCTAAAAATTAGCTAGCATTTGTTGTCCTCAACGCAGAGAACTAAAAGCAGATACCTTAAAAGCAACTGAGGCCAATAGGAAAAGGGGACCAGGAACTAGAGAAAAGGTTAGATCAAAAAGAATTAACCTAGAAGGTAACACCCACGCACAGGAAATTAATGTGAGTCAACTCCCTGTATAGCTATCCTTATCTCAACCAGCAAAAACCCTTGTTCCTTCCTATTATTGCTTATACTCTCTCTTCAACAAAATTAGAAATAAGGGCAAAATAGTTTCTGCCAGGTATCAAAGGGGTAGGGGGGAGAGGGAGGGAGCGGAGTGGGTGGTAAGGGAGAGGGTGGGGGCAGGGGGGAGAAATGACCCAAGCATTGTATGCACATATGAATAATAAAACAATAAAAAATAAAAATAAATACAAAAGATTAAAAAAAAAACATGTTTTAAATCCCTCTACAAAAGCAATCATTAAGACATGATACTTGGTACACCACTAGCAAAACCATCCATGCCAGAGACAACAGGGCATCCATTGGGCAGGCAGTGTGTGCAGAGGGCCACATGGATGAGCCATATGGAGCAGCATGCTCTGCAGCCAGCTGTCCCTGAAAAGACTGGTCTTGGAGACCAGTTGTATCATGTTACAGCCAGCCAAAAGCTACAAATGCTGTCCCTTATAGCAGAAAAAGTATATACATTAGAAACAGAGGTTTCCTTGAAAAAAAAAACTTTACATGCGCTATCACTATATTTATTGCCAACAATATTTCCTTTCTTTTTGGGGGGAAGTGGAGGCCACTGTGCTGGAGTTTGAACTAGGGGCCTCATGATAATATTTCCTTTCTATCTTATTAATTTAGTGGCAGGTTTATATTCTGTCACCTTACATATGGATATGGAAAGGATACAGGAAACTCAGCAAATGCACATACTTTAAAAAAAATCATTAAAATCATAATCCATTCCTTTTAAAAGAAACAAAAATAGAATTTACAAAATGAAAGTTAAAATTCAAACGTAGTCTACTTTGGTGTCTTATTATCTATTCAATGAATAAGCTCTAGACTGTGCTAGACATTCAAGGAAAACCAAAATAAGTGGGGCATGAATCCAGTATTCATAGAGCTTGCATGCTAAGAGTGGAAATAAAATGTAAGTGTGCATTTATACTCACAGGTCATAATCAGAAACCTAATGAGGTAGCAGTATTTCTACCAGATTTCAGTAGATTTGGATACTTCATAGGCAAAATCTTTATTGAAATATTTCAAACTACACACTGTCCTTGACTTAAGGTGGGTCACCTTAAGATTTTTCAGCTTTCCAATGGTGTGAAAGCCATATGTATTTAGTGGAAATCATACTCTGAATTTTGAGTTTGACATTTTTCCCACACTAGAAATATATAGTCCAATATTATATTGTGATACTGCGCAGTAGTAGCCGTTGCAGCTCCCAGTCAGCCTTGTGATCATGAGGGGACACAGTGGACACTCCACAGTGCTCTTTGCTGCTCAGCTAGGATGTCCTGTAGGTTAGGTGGATTCAATACATTTTCAGCTTAGAATGTTTTCAATTGATGATGGATTTTTTAGGATATAACCCTATCGTAAGTCAAGGAACATCTTTAATACTTTATTTTTATGTCTTTTATTTTAGAATTAATAAAAATGCTTCATTTCAAGAGTAGTGTAAATAGTCTTCCTGTTCTTTCAGGCATATAAGTGGTATGAGCTTGGGCACAAGAGGGGACATTTTGCATCTGTCTGGCAGCGCTCCCTCTACAACGTTAATGGACTGAAAGCTCAGCCGTGGTGGACACCCAGGGAAACAGGCTACACAGAATTAGTAAAGGTGAGTGTTGTTAACTTAGGCATCTTCGTCACCTGATTTATTTTCTCCTTGAAATCAAAGAAGGTCTATCATGGAAAGGAGTGTGAGGGAGAGGACAGATTTTGATTTCTAGTGATAGTTGAAATTAAAAAAAAGTAGAAAAATCTTTTCACTCCAGTCAGTTGCCAGAAGTGTCATTTAGATAATGAAGAAGGAAATTTGTCTGAAATGGCAGTTCTCAAACTTTTTGGCCTTACGACACCCTTAAACTCTTAAAAAGTATTGTACATCATCAAGGAAGTTTTATTTATGTGGGTTTTATCTATCCACATTGGCAGTGGAAATTAAAACTGAAAGAAAATTTTATTTCTATGTATGAGTGTTGTAAAAATAGCAACCCCATTACATATTAATGTAAGTAACTTTTTAAATAAGATACTTATATTTTTCAAAACCAGAAATACATAAGGAGATCGAAAATTGGTACGTATTTTAAAATTTTATCGGTCTGGTTTCATAGAAGACAGGAGGAATTTTCGTGTCTACTTCCACACAGTACGCACACCAAACTGGAGCAGACTACTTTTATTATACATCATGTAGCCTCTGGAAAACTTCACTGTGTGCCTTTGTACAAATCAGCATCAAAAGAGCAAAGCACATCTTTGTGTTATTAAGAAAGTAATTTTGATCTTTCAGAGCCCTCAAAGTGTCTAGAGAACTACCCTGTGTTCTGGAGCCACATTTTGAGAACTGTTAGGCTTGTAGCAACAGAGAAAAGAAGCAGATACAGATAGAGAATGTTGCAGTAGATATGTCAGACAGAGAAATTGATTGAGTCTAATAACTTATTAGCTATAAAATATTAGTTTATATTGGTAGATTATGTCTGAATTTTAAGACTTACTTGTGATTTTGGTTGAAGCATTGTCAGAAGTTTACTAGTTTACTTTTGCTTTGCTAAGCCTATTCTTCATAGACACATTAGTAAAATAATTAATTTACTCATAATTAATTTACTCATAGATTCTGCATAATTCACTTTATAGTCCAGATGTAAAAAAAAAAATCATGGCATCCTATAGGTTAGATGGGCTTCCATGTTCTGGCCTCAGAAGTCTGCTGTTTGTGCATTGTTTGAGAATACAATATGCTCTGATTTTTCAAAACAATTTATTTTACACGTGAGGAAAGCAGAAGGACGAACAGGGATGACAAAGACACTGTAATTCTAGAATCGAGGTATAATGGACGTTTGTTATACTAGTCTTTCACCTTTGGGTGTATTTTAAATGTTTTCCGTAAAGAATACCTTCTTTAAGATTTGTGTAAGACTTTACTGATTAGTTTACTTGGGTAAAAGAAAAGTTTCATGTGGTTTCAATACACTTACATTAAATAGGTCTTACTTAAGACCTTGTTTATGCTTATTTCATTATGAAGCACATTATAAACCATCAAAAGCCAATTGTAAAAGAGCCACATAACTCAGATGAATATGTGATATGCACAAAGATTAATTTAAAGATCGCAAATCCAAAGCAGAAATAGTTGAGAGACAACATTTTTATAAATCTACTGCACATAGCACCATCAGTGATTTCTTTCCTTATAAAATTCCATTTCTGATTCTCCTGTACCATCTTTTCCTAGTTTCCTTGTGAGCTTATTTCCCCATTAAAGTTTTTAAAATGCTTTCAAGTTCAAATAACAGAAATGAAACTCGAGCCTGGCTTCAACAACAAGGAACTTGACTGATTTGTATAACTGGAAGCTTAGCAGTAGAACTGACATCAGGGGTAGTATAGTATCAGAGGATGATTTTCTCGACTCTACACTCCCTGTTTGGTGAGCTTTGTCTTTTTTTTTTGCTAGCTTACTACAAGGTGGCTGCCAGCAGCCCCAAATTGGAGGATTGAAAACATTATTTAGCACCACTCTACCCTAAATGACCTTCTCCAAACTCTGGGAGATGCTTTCATTTGCACAGCCACAGTTACAGGGAGCCTAGTTACCAAGTCGCTAGCCAACAGGATTCCAGAAGAAGGAGTATACCTCTCTGTCAATGCAGAACAGGAATCTTCCTTTCATCTGAGCCAATTTAAGGTCACATTTCCACTCGTGGATCAGTTCATTGGCAAGGGTGTATGGGATGATCTTCAAGCCAACGGACACACCCCTGGGAGTTTAGGAAAGTATCGCTTCTCTGAACTGAGTGGCTGAACTGGGGGTGGAGGGAGTAGACCCAAATAAATCAGTTCTAATTAGAAAGAGCAGCCTCAGTGTTCAGGATCCTTGCTGTCATGTGAATGTGCTCTTGAACACAAACATTTTTTTCCTCTGCCCTCTGTTTTCCTTTTTTTTGCCTTGCAATTTTCTAGAAATCTTCTCCACTGTGGCTTTCATCTGTGTGAAAATTTCAATTAAAGCTCATTTGCACAGCCACAGTACAGGGAGCCTAGTTACCAAGTTCGCTAGCAAAGGAATTCCAGAAGAAGGAGTAACCTCTCTGTCACATGCAGCAGGAATCTTCCCTTTCATCTGAGCCAATTAATCACATTTCCACTCTGGATCAGTCATTGGCAAGGGGTTATGGGATGATCTTCAAGCCAACCGGACCACCCCTGGGAGTTAGGAAAGTATCGCTTCTCTGAACTAAGTGGCTGAACTGGGGGTGGAGGGAGTAGACACCCAAATAAAATCAGGGTTCTATTAGAAAAGCAGCTACAGTGTTTCAGGATCCTTGCTGTCATGTGAATGTGCACTTGAACACAACATTTTTTCCTCTGCCCTCTGTTTTCCTTTTTTTGCCTTGCATTTTCTAAGAAATCTTCTCCACTGTGCTTCATCTGCTGTGAAAATTTCAACTTAAAGCTATGTTACCCTAATAGACTTCTCACTCTTTGTATTTTATCTCTACCTGTGCAGAAGCATTAGTATCTGATGTGAAAATTTAGTTCGTCAACTCCTACATACTCCTTTCCAACTTAAGTTTTGGTCAGTGTCTTAGTCCATTTTGGATGCTGTAACAAAATGTCATAAACTAGGTGACTTATAAACAACAAAAATTTATTTCTTAGGATTCTGAAGGCTGAAAGAGATTAAGGATGCAGGAAATTGTCTGGTGAGGGTTGTTTCCTGGTGCGTAGATGGTACCTTCTCACATGTCTCACATAGTAGAAGAGGAACGGCAGCTCTCTGTATACAATTGAAAATTAGGGTAATATTAAGCTCAAGCAATTCTTTTAATTGAAGGTACTAGCTCCACTAGATAGCTATAACAGAAAAACAAGCACTAACAAGTGTTGGTATGCTTCACATATTGCTAGTGAGGTGTGGCCATGCCTCAAACATAAAACTACTACATGTTCCAGCAGTTCCACTCCTAGGTATAAATCCAAGAGAAGGAAAAACACTTGCCCATGAAAAAATATGTACATGAATGTTCACAGCACCAGTAATAGTAAAAAAATAGAAACAACCCGAAATGCCCATCCAAGTGATAAGTAAATAAAGACAATGTGATATAGCTATACAATGACAATAAAAAGGAATGAAGCATTGACACCTAGTTTCATCCATGAACCTTAAAAACATGATGCTGTGTTAAAAAGGCTAGTCACAAAACATGACATATTACATGGTCATGTTTCTATAAACTGTCCTAATTAGGAAAATCTATAGAAACATAAGCAGACTGGTGTTTTCCAGATCCTAAAGAAGTTGTGGTAAGGGGCCATGACCTCTAATGGGTGAAGGGTTACTTTTTGGTATGATGAAAATATTAAAGTGTTGGTAGTTGCACAACTCTGAATATGCTAGAACCACTCAATTATAAAAGTTAATGGAGTAAATTGTGTGGTATGTGAAATATATCTCAATAACTGTTAAAAATAGGAAACTGACAGAACATGGTAGTTCAAAGACATTTAAAGGAAACAGACTTCTGCAGGTTGTGGAAGAAACTGACTTAATCATCACAAAGGCAAAACAGTGAATCAAGTAAGAGCCTTTGCTCCACAATTCATTACGTGATTTGGAGTTTGGGGTTTATTCCTTACTAGCTGTGTGACATTGAGCTACATTTCTTGTATTTCAACTTCATTATCTCAAAACTGTCCATGGTAGTGGTTCCTGTCCTATAGGTTGTTCTGAAGGTTTAATAAGCAGAAAATGCTCAATAAACATGGCTTTTTGTTATTATGCTGGTTATCATTTTAATTTACTACCCTGGTTTTGTAGGAAAATATTTTCTAACTTCTAAAAAATCTACAAAGTCGATTTTTAAATATTATGTTATATTAAAATAATAATGTATTAGGTAACATCCATTAAATGTTGACTGTTTGCAGTCAATGTGCTAAATAAGCACTTTGCTATATAGTATTTCTAATCTTTAAAGCAGCTTTAGAAGATACATATTATTGGGCCCATTTATTTATGAGTAAAGATGAAACAAGGTGAGAAATTTGCCTAAGGTCCCATACTGAATGGTGACAAGATTGTGATATGAATGAAGGTTTCCTTGGCCTCCAAATCTGTTTCCTACTTGTACCTCAAAATAGTTCCTTGTTTATACTGATTGTTTGCTCTTAGGTCTAGTGTCCTCCTTTGTGCCATTCACGTGTTTGTTTCGAAATTCTATTTAGTTGGACTTCTTGATTTCAGTCCTGCTGTTTCAAGTTCTGCTTTATTTAAAAAGAAAGGCAAAGTGGGGGTTTCAGTCACAGCATGGAATCTTGCATGATGATGACACCTTCTAACTCAGTGCTGTACGATAGTGCTTTACTCTGCTAGCTACCTTTATTTGCAGAAATATTAGTGCTGTAAATTACATGAAATTTCAAAAAGAACTAAATTTAGAGTGACCACTGCTAATAATGACTATGACAAAAGAGAGCCAGCAGTGTGAGGAAACCCAGGGCCCATTGGTCATTTAGTTGACAGACACTTATACATCAAGGTATTCTTCCATTTCTAAATTACAGGTTTATATATGGTGGATTATCATCTAGTTATTG